ATATTATGTTATTTTTTTCTCGGGGTTTTATTAAATAAATAAATATATATTCTCAGGTCCGTGCGTATACATCACACACCATTCAGCACTACAGGGACACTTGCACACGCACATGTCATATGTAATTACATGTGCCTGCCAGCCATGTGATATGAACAGGGAGTGCAACAAAGATCATCTTAGCATATTTCAGTATGGCTCCCTGGCCAGCCATGCTACATAGCTTACCTCTGCGAGGCTCGCAATTCCGTCTATCTGTGTTCATTCGACATCATTTGAGCAGCTGATCCCCCCTTGGCCCATGAGGTCAGAGGCTTGCATTGCTTTTGCTGCTTGGATTATTCGGTGACGGCTTTTGGAATTAGCTGCCTCACAATGGTTAGGGTTGCATAAACATTCTCACACTGCAAATGCAGGCTCAAAACTGTGAGCCAAGGAAGGTGCTTTGCTTTAAACTCACTTTCGGGCAGCTGCCGCAAGGAGGTTGGGTGAAGGTGAATGTTGCCCCCCAAATCCAAAATCATGAGAATTGCAAAGAATTGAATGGAACATTGGCGACATATGTTGAAATTGTTCGGTTTTGAGCTGCTCAGACAGGCCTTGGTGGTCAGCCGCCACTCTCAGGCGGCTTAGGCGGTGGCTTAGGCGGCGGCTTAGGTAGTGGCATAGGCGGCGGCCTTGGGAGCGGCCTGGGCGGCGGCCTGGGCGGCGGCCTGGGCGGCGGCCTGGGCGGTGGCCTGGGCGGTGGCCTGGGCGGCGGTCTTGGCGGCGGTCTTGGCGCTCAAGGCGGTGCTTTTGGAGGTCTAGGTGGAGGGTTGCCAGCCGCTCCCAGTGAACCAATCCCAAGTGCCTTTGGAGGTGCGCACCGCGCACACCTGAGTTTTGAGTGCGTCGATTTGCTGGTCGGGTCCATCCGTTTTCCATCCATGCGTTTATCTTGGAATTTTACCCAGTCGCCGCTTCAGTACGCTTCAGGTATGTTTCATGTAGCACCACGGATGCTGATCTCAGCATCATATAGAAGTTTTAAGTATGTATATAATATTATATAATTATAATAAGTCATTATATAGTGTTGAACAGTTTTTTGTGGGCTTGTTCGTCCTGGGAGTCTAGCGACTCTAGCACGCGAGAAACGGACCATCAAATAAAACACAGCTGCAGAAACAGGCCCTGGCAACCAGGGCGGCCAACTCGGTGGTTTTGGCAATGCTGGAAACTTGGGCAGCGGCTTGGGCAGCGGCTTGGGCGGCGGCTTGGGCGTGCCTCCTCCTTCTGGTGGAGGCGGTTTTGGAGGCATTGGCATGGGTGGACTTGGTGGCATGGCCCCAGCTCCTGCCATGGATGGAACAGGCGCGGGGCGTGCAGCACTAGCAATACTAGAAGTTTTGGCAGTTGACCTATGGGCCATCCGGCCACCCACCAATCTTTTTGATGCCCACCAGGTGCTTTAGCTGGTGGCACCGGAAGTGGTTTGGGCATGCCTGGATTGCAAGGAACTGGCCTAGATGCGCAGGGAGACAAAGGGGGCTTCGTGAAACTCAGCACGGACCCTGAAACCTTGCATCAGGCTTTCCACTACGCAGACATTGCTGTAACCAGGCTCTGGATGCTTTTCCAGTGCGCTGTTCTTTTCAAATTCATATCCATCAAGAAACAGCTGGTTGCCAAGTTTCACTGCAGTGATTAGAAAGGATGACCTCATTGTGGACACATGCCAAAATCGCAAGTAGGGAATCTTGTGCAATCTGAGGCATACCTTCTGCAGCGGCCAGAGCCACGATCTCCGGAAGAGTGTCGTGAACAGTGCTCTCGCAATGAGAGCTGTGCAGCTTGGGAGGTGCGACAGCCGTGAGAGAAATTTGCAGAGGGTACGGGTGGATACAATGTATTCATTGATGTAACTAGATGCAACTAGAAAAATCAAGATAGAACCATGCGCGCATGTTGTCTAGTCTCTACTTCTTCATTTCGTTCTGTATCAACCTGGTTCTGCAAAGGCCAACACAATGGTCTCAGAGAGGAAACAGTTGCTGGTCACCCCAGGTGTGCGCACCTTTGGGCGATGGCTGCGATGGCTGTTACCTCATTTCGCGCGCACCGCGTCGCTGGGATCAGCGGGAGGGTTGGCATGCGGAAATCCTTCCAGGCGTGGTCCGATGGGAACCGATGGGAACCGATGGGAACCGATGGGAACCGATGGGAACCGATGGGAACCGATGGGAACCGATGGGAACCGATGGGAACCGATGGGAATAGGACTGCAGCTCCAACGATGGCATTGGTCACCCATGCCTGAAACATTTTAAGATGATTGGATCCCTTTGAGAGGGCCAGTAATCATGGAACCGTTGATGATGTGACACTACATTGAGGCCGAGAAGAGCTTGGCTGGCAGAACAATGACACTGGTGGCCTTGCCTCTCATTGGCACATATTCTGTGGATATCCGTGGGCTGAATTGGCTTTTTTTTTTGGCATAATTCTGTGGCATATTTTGCCTAGCTGAGCGGCAAGGCAAACTTGACTGTGGAGAGCTGCCGAGAATTTTTGCTGAATGCCAACGGACGCTTGCCTTTCAAAACGAATCCAACTTGGCAATATTCCAAAACTTCTCTCACCTCGTGTCTAGACGAAGGCTCACAAGCATCATGCAAAGCTGTGTCTATTTGACAGGCCTGACTTTTTTGGGAAGCTTTGTATGGCAGAAGCGTTATTCCATAGGAACACTTCTTTGAAACACATTGCAACTACAGAAAGCTCATCTCGGTAGCCGAAGATTCAAGCAGCTGCAGCTGCAGCTGGAAATTCCATGAAGTTCCAGGTTGAAGGTCTAAGGGCAGGTAGTAGCGGGTAGATGCGGGTAGTAGATAGCGGATAGCGATGGAAGGGCAACCAGCACTGCCACGAGGAGCAGATCAAAGTGTTCCATTTCACGAGCCTGCTGTGATGCAGAAGTACGCAGCGACTTTCAGCTGAAAAGCCATTGAACGGATATGAATCATACATGAGCCATGTGAAATCATGTGAACCCATATGGCAGAATCAGTCAAGGTTGTATTGTTATTGGAATATCTTGGAATATCTTGAGATATTGTGGCCACCCAAGGTGTGGCTCTATGGTCTGGGATGCAGAAGCTCCACGTGGTCTCAATGTGGTTGGTCAACACTGGCCAACCTTTCTGATTACGAACTTCTGGGACCCCCCAATTTTGTTGCCGCAGGACAGGACACTGGGCAGAACAGTTGCGTGGCAAAGAGATGCAAAGAGTTGATTGGTTGATATTGGAACCTTCAGACAGGAGGAAAACGTAGAAGAACGATCCAAAACATTCCAAACCTATCCAAAGCTGTACTGAATTTACTAAAGGAGGGCTATTAAAAAATGTTTTTCAGTTTGGCTTTTGTATGCTTTTGTGACTTTTGTGGCTTCGGGATTCCTGACTTTTGTGAGTTGTGTCTTCTCGTTGGTTTTTGTTGCTTTTGGCTTCTTGGCTTTTTGCTTCACTTTGCTTCTTGGCACCCTGCTGCAACCGTTGTGCAGACAAAGAATTAGAAAAAAACGAACAACAACAATGTTTTATAAGAAAGTTGTGTTTTTTTCCTCTCTCTCTCTCTCTTTTGTGGCTTTTGTCTACTCGGCTCCTTATCAAAGGAAGTTGGGAAGCAATACTTCCGAGTTACGAATGACTTTTACTATGATGAAGGGTGGTGCGCGATCTATACTTGATGGAATTGACTATGATGAAGGGTGGTGCGCGATCTATACTGGATGGAATTGACTATGATGAAGGGTGGTGCGTGATCTAACGATCTAACAGTAATCTAACAATACATAACAAAAGAATAAGAAGCGATGAAATTGACTATGATGAAGGGTGGTGCGTGATCTAACAATACATCATAGAAGAATAAGAATCAATGGAATTGACTATGATGAATGATGAAGGGTGGTGCGTGATGATGAAGGGTGGTAGATCACAGAACAATACATTATCTAACAATACACAACAAAAGAATAAGAAGCTATGACACAGGGTGGTGACGAAGGGAAGTGGTGAGGAAGGGAAGTGGTGAGGAAGGGAAGTGGTGAAGAAGGGAAGTGATGATGAAGGGGAGTGGTGAGGAAGGGAAGTGGTGAGGAAGGGAAGTGGTGAAGAAGGGAAGTGGTGACGAAGGGAAGCGGTGAAGAAGGGAAGTGATGATGAAGGGGAGTGGTGACGAAGGGAAGTGGTGAGGAAGGGAAGTGGTGAAGAAGGGAAGTGGTGACGAAGGGAGGTGGTGAAGAAGGGAAGTGATGATGAAGGGGAGTGGTGACGAAGGGAAGTGGTGACGAAGGGAAGTGATGATGAAGGGGAGTGGTGACGAAGGGAAGTGGTGAAGAAGGGAAGTGGTGACGAAGGGAAGTGGTGACGAAGGGAAGTGGTGACGATGGGAAGTGGTGACGAAGGGAAGTGGTGACGAAGGGAAGTGGTGACGAAGGGAAGTGGTGATGAAGGGAAGTGGTGATGAAGGGAAGTGGTGACGAAGGGAAGTGGTGACGAAGGGAAGTGGTGACGAAGGGAAGTGGTGACGAAGGGAAGTGGTGACGAAGGGAAGTGGTGACGAAGGGAAGTGGTGACGAAGGGAAGTGGTGAGGAAGGGAAGTGGTGAGGAAGCGGGGTGGTGACGATGGGAAGTGGTGAGGAAGGGAAGCGGTGACGAAGGCAAGTGGTGAGTTGGGGAGGAAGCCGGAGCACGAAACCTTGTGTTTTTCCGTGTAAAGTGGCTGCAGCCGGCGATGAAAGGTACCTCGTCTGTGCGGCGGTTGCGGCTGGGGTCGTTCCGGACGCGATTGGTTCCTTCTATGTGTTTTGCAAACAAGTGGTTGTTCCTGTGGTGTAGTTCTATGCGTTTCCTGAAGCTGTGGTTGCAGATCGCATTGTAATGGCTGCATGAATGTTGCATGGGCTATGTTTTGGGGAGGAAGCCGGAGCACGAAACCTTATGTTTTTCCGTGT